GCGAACCATCGGATGGAAGACCTCTCTCTCTCTCTCTCTCTGCGCCCCTCCCCCCCCGCCTCTCCTCTCTCTGGGTAAATAAATAAATCTTTTTTTTTTTTTTGTTTTTTTTTTTAAGAAAAGCAGTATCTCTTTCTCAAACACTAGTGTGCTGGCAACTTTGGGTTTCTCAGCATTCAGCACACCACAGAAATTCAATGAATAATTTAAAATGAACTGAAGGAAGAGCAAATAGTTTAGCAACAGCATGCTTTAGTTTAGTATTCTCAAAGCTCTTTAGATCAGTAGAAAGAATTCACATCACACACCACCAACATTTGTGATTTACAGGTAACCTACTACTGTCAAACTAGGTATAAACAAACTATTAACAAAGCTTAACTGCTTTCTGGTTTTTTCCATAAATAAATGTAAGAACATGTTATAATATCTTCTTGCCACATCCAACAGTTCGACCCGGCACACCCTACTCAAGACTTCTTCCAGTGGACACTATAAAACGATGGCCAATCACCAACTAAAACCCAGAACTAAAGGAAGTGGGCGGCAGCACCGCTGAGCAGTGCTGCACGCCGGCTGAACAAGAACACTCAGGGAGTGTCGGTGTCTAGGGACTTTTCCCCGGGCCCCAGTGCTCCTCCTAAGCGTACTTCCTGGGTGCAGGAAGCAGCGTTCCATGTCACTGCTTGACACCTTTTCTCCTAGATGATCCATGAAACCACGAAGCAGAGCCAGGCGTGGCCAAGCCAATGGCAGCAAAGACCCAAAAATGGAGAACTTGCACCTCCTGATTTCCACAGTGACGACAAAGCTGCAACCACCAGAGCAGTGTGGCAGTGTGGCAGTGTGGCGGCAGCACAGGAAGACACCTGCAGACCACGGGCCAAGCCGAGAGAAGGCTCAGGAGTAAACGCTCACATGCACAGCCAACGACTTTCTCCTCTTGTCTGATTATTTCACAAGCAGCACCTAACCTGCTGGCATTTTCTCCATCACGGGGAGCCCCTGGCCCGTGAGCCCCATGAGCCCTTCCTGTGTGGGTCACCGCCCAGTCCCCAGGTCAGTTACAGTTCAAAGAAACCCCACACAATGGGAGAACACATCTGCAAATTATGTATCTGATAAGGCATTACTATCCAGGATGTACACAGAACACCTAAAACTCAACAACAGAAGAAACAACCCAATTCAAAATCAAGCACCGGACTTGAGTATACATTTCTCCAAAGCAGATACACGAATGACCAACAATCACTCAGGAAGGTGTTCCACATCTCATCATCAGAGAACACAAATCAAACCACAGTAAGTACCACCTCAAACCCATCGAGAAAGCAGAAAACAGGTGCTGGCAAGGGTGCAGAGGATCTGCAACCGTGCACACTGCTGCGACAACCACTGTGGAAAAAGTACAGAGGCCCTCAAGAAGTTAAAAATGAAATGACTGAATGGTTCTGCAATTCTGCTCATGTTTATACTGAAATCAGGGATAAGATGGTGAATTTTATATTAGAATAAAATGTAAAGAAAGAAAAGCAGCAGCAGTGGCAATGCCCAAATGGAGCGTGGCCATTAAGTAAAGAAATGGGCCTCAACTCCACGGCTCCCAGGGCTTTCACACGGTCTCAAACCATCCACTGTTCTGAATGACTCTGCTGTCTCACCTGGCAACAGAGACACCAGCACAAGATGTGTGACAGCCAGGAGAATGAATGCCTATTCTGTTGCAATACTGATTCTGGTGGGTGTGGAAGACAGTAAACTAGCAAGATTCTTTTAGCAGAAAAGCAAATAATTATAATCACAGATGAGACTATAAAAGGATTTTGCCTATCTGAAGAATCAGAAAGGGGCCAGCACTGTGGCGCAGTGGGTTAATGCCCTGGCCTGAAGCGCCAGCATCCCATATGGGCACTGGTTCATCCCTATGGGTGCCAGTTCCTGTCCCAGCTGTTCCACTTCCAACCCAGCTCCCTGATAATATCCTGGAAAAAGCAACAGTCCTGGCACCCATGTGGAAGATTCCAATAAAGCTCCTGGCTTTGACTTGGCCCTGCCCTGGTCATTATGGCCATCTGGGGAGTGTACCAGTGGATGGAAGACTCCTTCTCTCTCTCCCCCTAACAAATAAATCTTTTTTAAAAAAATTTAAAGTTCATGGAAATGCATTATTATGAAAAATCTATGTGTGAATCTCAAAAATCTTTTGCACCAAAATAAAATCATCTTTTAATTCCACTTCCATGAACTTTGTGAAGTTTCCTCATAAAAGTCCTCATAGACCATATAACTGGGTCCTCTAACAGGCTATGGCATGCTGCTAAAATGACAGGGCAAGATCTGCCCACACAATGGAGTAGCTAACAGAGGAGACAGTAAGGACAAGCAGGACAATCAGACTTCTGGCTGCTACACCCCACACTCACAGCGGTATTGTTCACAATGGCCATGAGTGGAAGCGTCTCCAGTGAACATCACTGGACAAACAGATAAACAAAGCAAAAACACGCAACCACTATTCTACTGTGCACGTGCACGCATACCACATTTACCCAAAAACAAGGAAAGCCCAACACAAGATACAACATGATGAAGCTCAAGGGCATTATGCTGACTAAAATAAGCCAGTTAACAAAGGAATAATGTATGAGTCCACCTTAAATGCGGCACTTAATGTAGTTAAATCCAGAGACGGGAAGGGGAATGGTGGTTTCCATGAGTCCCAGGGGAGGGGAAGAGTTTCCGATTTGTGAGATGACGTGTTCTGGAGAGGACTCGCAGAACAATGCAAACATACTTAACACTAGTAACTCGGGCTTCGCAAGCGATCATGGTCCATTTTAGACTCTGTCTGCTTCACCATAAAGCGTTTTTAAAAGTGGACTGTCAAAGCGGTCAAAGATGGCGTAAGGGCAAACAATTCTGTGACAAATGAGAAAAATCAGTGAGGTACCGAGGTGGTGCAGCCGGCAAGACTAACTGACCACGGGGTGAGCGCCGGGGTGTACCGGGTAAGGCCACCGCCTGCAGTGCTGGCATCAGGGGCACCAGTTCGAGTCCCGGCTGCTCCATTTTCCATCCAGCCTTCTGCTATGGCCTGGGAAGGCAGTGGAAGATGGCCCAAGTGCTTGGGCCCCTGCACCCGCATGGGAGACCTGGAGGAAGCTCCTGGCTCCAGCTGTTGCAGCCATCTGGGGAGTGAACCAGTGGATGGAAGTCTCCCTCCCTCCCTCTCTCTCTGCCTCTCCGTAACTCTCCCTTTCAAATAAAATAAATAAAATCTTAAAAAATAAAAAAGACTTACCAGTGAGAATGAGAAAGTCACAGAGAAGCAGGGGAGAAGTGAGGCTGGTGACACTCAGCCGCCCACCCACACACCCTTCCTCCCTCACAGCCTCACAGAAACACCTCCTGCTGCTGCTGCTGTCCGAGCGCATGCTTCGTGCAAGCACTGCCTGGAGACATGGACACCAGACACTAAAGAGGATCACATCCTCACCCTTGCGGCACGGACAGCTGAACGGCCACGTGCCAGGGCAGCAAGCAGGGAGATAAACGTGCCGACAGCACTACTGTCTTGGGGGAAAAAATGGGGGCAGGGCTTTTGAGCAGAACCACGCATGGAGAAGGAAAGCATTCGTTACAACAGTCTATCGTTCTCACTGACTTGTGCAGTGGAGCTGTTTAACAACAGATCATTCAGTAGAAACACAGAAAACAGTGACTGGTGTTGTGGCACCCACAGGTTCATCCTCCACTTGCAGTATCAGAATACTGGGTCAAGTCCCAGCTGCTCCACTTCAGGTCCAGCTCCCTGCCAATGCAGCTAAGAAGGTAGCTGATGATGGCCCTAGCACTTGGGCCTGCCACCCACATGAGAGAGCCAAACACGTTCCTTGCTGCTCGGTTCAGCTTGGCCCAGACCTGGCTGTTGTGGCCATTTGGGGAGTGAACCAGCAAAGCAGGAGGTGTCTCTCTCTCTCTCTCTCTCTCTCTCTGTAGTACTGCCTTTCAAGTAAGTGAAATCTTAGAAAATATAAACTTGAACACTGAAATACAATCAAACTGTGCATTCTCTTTGTATCCACGTATCCCGCACTGCAAAGCAATTATTAATTTTTGGCATTCTACGTATCATTTCTTTAACATTTAAAAATAGAAACTACAATGAATTATTTTTCTGCAATGAGAGTAAGCATATGCTTGAGGGTACTGAATTTTTAAACGGATTTTAAAAATCCTGAATTTTCCTTTTTTGTTGAATATATTAAAGGAAAAAGGCTACTAAACAAAAGACTACATAGAAAGGAGCACATAAATCTTAACTGCTGGAAACCAAACACAGTGTTAAAGACCACTGTCATAAAAACTGACTACAACCACAAGATTCAAACCACGTTTCTGAATGAATGTTGTCATGTGCCTAAAGCAGTATCTCCAACAATCACAGGGAGAATGCACACTGCTGGAACGAAAAGTATACTCCAAATCATTTTACTCAACCTCCGTATTTTACAAGTCAAAAAAGCAAATCCACACTAGGTGAAAATACATCTGGCTATGGTCACAGAATTACAACACGGCACCGCGCCACTGCACTGCTCCTAGGCTGCGGCTCTTCACACGGCAAGACAGGTACCAACTCCGTGAGCCTGAATCGCCTTTCAGGAAACAACACGCCTAGGACACAGCAGCATGTGAGCACGCCTCAGACAGTAACCATGACATACACTGTGTACACTACTACCATAAATGTCATGCACAAACGTAGCATTTCGTTCTTAACTGACTAATGGCGCCAACCTGGATTCTGCAGCCCTCCCTAACTCACTGTTGTGGCTGAGATGTAATGTTAGCCAGCCATTAAAGCCATCACTGACACAGAAACCTGCACTTACAGACTCTGTGCCAAGTCAGAAACCACACAGCCTTGCAGTCCTGCGCACAGGACTCTCCACATGGAATGCTAAATACTCAAACCACACTGGGCTCGGGGTTACCTTTCTTGATTGCTCAGTTTGGCGTACATGGCTTGTACCAATTCCGGACTTTTCAGAAAGTGGTCTGTAATAATCAAGAGCCTAAGAGGAAAAGAAGAAAACAGTCTGGTTATAGAAACACGGTAAAACACACACAGGCTTGTCCACCTCACAGGTGGAGCTTACACACAACAGCACGGCTTTTTATTGAGCTTTTGAGTTGCTGTGATCTTAAATGTTTTAAGAGGTTCAAATACCACTTTTTTAACCAGTAACTGAAAGGGAGAAAACTCAAAACATTTTTCTCTCATTTTTACTTGTGAAAAATGTAATAAAATTACCCAAACTGACTTGAGTAGAAGGAAAGGTCTACTACAGCTTTTATCTAAGTTAAGAAAGAAAACTTCTTTTGGAAATGAATGTAAAATGAAATTCAGCTACAAGTTCAGGTATAAATGGAAAACACTGTTAGAAGCCTAGTGCTGTAGCTGACCAGAAGAAATGGACATGTCAGAGTTTAATTATTTAAACACATGAAACAATGCAGAGATGAGTACTGGCCTGATTATCCACTCAGCGAGCTCTCAAGTTACCAAGAAAACATCCTCATTGTCAACACTGCACTCATCTGAACTTAGAGATCAACCTCGGGAAGCCCCAAGGCAAAGATTACAGGCACATTTCTTCAAAGCAGCACAGTGACATTTAAAGAGACTGAATAGTATTATTTATTAATTCTGAACCTATTTACCAGCGGCCATCTGAGGCAAGAACTTAGGCACTAAGCAGCACACTGCTTACAATCAAGTTACAGGAGCAGAGCTGACTGTAAAACACTGACACCCGGTCATCATGTGCAAACAGAACACTTCCCCTGCACGACGAGATGAAGCACGTTAGTAACTGCCACAGCACACTCAGTGCATGGAGAAGCAAGGTCTAAACATGTATCTTATTTCTTCTACGACCTTCAAAACAGCTGATGAGTACCCTGATATAAAGTACGTCTAACAGTATGGGAGAATATCAAGAAGTTCAAGCAATATTCCTATTAATTTAGGTAGATCAAGCTACAACAATACAAATCCATGCGTTCCAAGTAGGCACAAAATTGGCATCCTAAACTCTTGCATAATCCAGCTACTTGCAAGTCCATATATTTTCTCCTCAGTGCATTAATTCAGAAACTAAGACTCAAGTCCTGTGTCAGGGCCTACGTGCCAACTAGATCCTCCGAACGGTGGGGAAAGGTGCACACACAGATAGATAATCACCAAAGAGTGTGAGTACAGCACAGGCACACTTCACAGACTATGGAAACAACAAAGGGGACCCAACCAGGAGCAAGAAGATCACAGAGGTCAGAGAGGCGCTGTGTGAGTCCCTGGAGGAAGGGAAGGGGAGAACGTCCAACGGGCAGGGACAGAGGAGAGCTTAGGGAAACAGCGTGCAGGAAAGAACACCGCTGCCCTCAGGGGACCACCAGCAGAGCTTCCAGAGGATTCTGGACCAAAAGCTTGCACCCGAGGCTGGGCGTGCTCCCGGCACACCCTTCAGAAGTGCCTCATCAATCTGTGATTGGCTGGCCTTGCACAAAACATAGGGACATGAAACCCAAATGTCGAGAAACTTCTAACCTAAATCAAGTGCTTCATTTTAGAAATAAGGGAAGACAGAGGCCCACAGAAGTTTAGTGTCTTGGTGAAGAAGGCTCCTTGGTTATCTGAAAAGTCAACAAGCCCCGGTTCCCACTGTCGAGGATTCCTCCTGCGATGTTCTCCCTGCAGCAGCTCGTGCTTTGCCAGAAGGAAGTCCCAGGTGCGCTCAGAGCCAGCTGCCTCCACGACCGTGGTCACGTTCATGCACTCATTCACTAGTGAGTAGACAGTGACATTTGTACCTCAATGTCAGAACAATCATCACTCACACTCATACAAGCAAAAAAAATGTTCAGTGAGAACCTGCTTAGTTGCACCTGGAATTCTTTACTCCATCACCTCAACCCAATGGACAGTGCTGAATGTAAATAACATTAGACACAGACAATGAAATGCCAGTAAGCAGCATTTTCTTAACTCGAGTGGTTAGTTATGCATATATTGTCAATTACATGTTTACATTATCAGCTGCTGAGGTTATTTTTCTAAATGTAATATACTCCTCCATTCACAATGCTGTAAAAAATTATAAGTAAACCCTTCTAACTTACTTACAGAAAGGTTAAACTGTCAACCTTCCCAAAGAATTCACTGCCTTTATTTTCTTCAAATACCTGCCCAAGGGAAACTGAAGATAAGCTTCTTTACAGCAGGAAGAGACTCAACCCTGATGAGTTAGAAAGAACTTACGGACTTTAAATTTGTGATTGGATTATTCTCCTGTAAATTCAGAAATGCTGTGGTAATAATACAAGAAAGGGACAAGGTTCCACTGAACAAATCTAAACACCACAGGGATTTAAAGACTGCAAGCAATGAGCACGTAATGCTGCAACTGTATGAAAAGAAGAACTGCCAAAACACATCTATCAAAGGCAGAAGTGGGAATAAACGGGGTATCAGAGAAACACCTACCTGTCTTGCAAAAAGAAAAAAAAACTATAAATGTGATACTTTAAGTCCTAATCAAAGGTACTTCAAAGGTTCATGGAAAAACAAAATTAAAAAGTAAGTTTTATTTTGGTGCAAAAAATTCTGAAGTCAGTCCATGCAGTTTTCTCACAATATACACTTCGCATGAACTTCCTGAAGGCCATTCGCACTCTGCACCACAATAAACTCACCTTTTAATCACACTTTCCACAGACTTTCTGAAGCCTCCATGTGTTTCACACACACAGGCTGCATCCTCTCCTCCAGGTGCCCAAGGATAAGAGCTTTCCACAGGAAACCTGGCTTCTCTGCCACTGCTCTCCTCCACCCCCAGCCAATGTCAGAAGGGAATTCCTATCTAGTCTTGAAATTCATCAGTTAAATGTGATGACACAAACACTAACATTCACAAATCAAGTGACGCCAAAGCACTGACCACACAGTGTCACACCATTTCTCACAGCGGCTGAAAACCAACACACGTCAAGGCCTCTCTTCCCATCTCTTTCTGTCCCTCATTCTTTCTCACTGATTACTGATTTTACAGTATGTCAGAGCCGGCACTGTGGCACAGCAGGTAAAGCCACGCCTCCGACTCACATCACATACAGGTGCTGGTGCATGCGCTGGCAGCTCCACTCCCTATTCAGCTCCTTGCTAAGGGCCTGGGAAAGCAGCAGAAAATGGCCCAAGTGTTTCAGTCCCTGACAGCCCTGTGGGAGGCCTGGAAGAAGCTCCTGACTTGGCCTGGCAAAGCACTGGTGGCTGCAGACATCTGGGGAGTGAAGCAGTGGATCAAAGATTCTCTCCATCTCTCCCTCCCTCTCTCTATCCTCCTCCCTCTCTCCCCCTCCCCCTTTCTCTAACTCTGAGCACAAAGTTCCAGTGGCTCCACTTCCATCCAGCTCCCAGATAATGTGCCTGGGATAGCAGCAGAGGATGGCCCAACTACCTGGGGCCCTGACACCTTTATGGAACAACTGGATGAAGATCTAGGCTTCAGACTTTGGCCTGGCTCAGTCCTGGCTGTTGCAGCCATTTGGGGAGTTAACCAGCAGATGGAAGATATCTCCCACTCTCTCTACCCTCCCATTATTCTGCCTTTCAAATAAATACAATGAATCTTTAATTGTAAAAAAAAAAAAAAAAGATTCGAAGATGATGTACTTTTTTTCAAAGATTTTTTTTTTTTTTTTTTGAAAGGCAGAGTGGACAGTGAGAGAGAGACAGAGAGAAAGGTCTTCCTTTGCTGTTGGTTCACCCTCCAATGGCCGTCGCAGCCAGCACACCGCGCTGATCCGAAGGCAGGAGCCAGGTACTTATCCTGGTCTCCCATGGGGTGCAGGGCCCAAGCACTTGGGCCATCCTCCACTGCACTCCCGGGATACAGCAGAAAGCTGGCCTGGAAGAGGGGCAACCGGGACAGAATCTGGCGCCCCAACTGGGACTAGAACCCGGTGTGCTGGCGCCGCAGGTAGAGGATTAGCCTATTGAGCCGCGGCGCCAGCCTCAAAGATTTTATTTATTTGAGAGGCAGAGTTACAGATTGAGAGATGGAGGGATGGAGGGATGGAGGGATGGAGGGATGGAGGGAGGGAGGGAGGGAGGGGGGGGAGAGAGAGAGAGAGAGAGAGAGAAAGGTCTTACATCTGCTGGTTCCCTCCCCAAATGGTCACAACGGCTGGAGCTGTGATAATCCAAAGCCAGGAACTAGAAGCTTCTTCCGCATCTCCCACATGGGTACAGGGGCCCAAGCACTTGGGCCACCTTCCATTGCTTTCCCAGGCCATAAGCTGGGTGTTGGATCAGAACAGGAGCAGCTAAGACTCAAAACAGTGCCTATATGGGATGCTGGTGCCAGAGGTAGAGGCTTAGCCCACTATACCACAGTGCCAGCCCCTAGATTATGTACTTTTATATATACTCTTTTGTCAGCTATAACGTTGGTAAGAGGGAGGGTGGAAAGTGGGTTTATACAATTTTCAGAGATAAGCTCTCATTTTTTCCTTAAATATTTTTTATTTATTTATTTGACAGGTTAGAGTTAGAGAGGGAGAGACAGAGACAGAGGTCTCCCATCCACTGGTTCAATCCCCAAATGGCTATAATAGCTGGAGCTGCGCCAATACGAAGCCAGGAGTCAGGTGCTTCCTCCAGGTCTCCCACGTGGGTGCAGGGTCCTAAGTACTTGGGCCATCCTCTACTGCTTTCCCAGGCCATAGTAGAGAGCTGTACTGGAAAAGGAGCAGCAGGGACACGAACTGGTGCCCATATGAGATGCCTGCACCGCAGGTGGAGGCTTAGACCATTGCATCACAGCACCAGCCCCGATTTCATATTTTAACGGTGAAAAATAACAATCCTATTGTAAATCTTTGGATATTCTGTGTTCTCACTGTTTGTTTACCAAATGCAGAGTTCCTCTTATACAAATTATGAGGGCAGTTTAAAAAGCTCAAGGAGGGGCCAGCGCTATGGGGGTAGGAGTCTTTCAAGCCACCGCCTACAGTGTTGGCATCCCATATGGGTGCCAGTTTAAGTCCTGGCTTCTCCACTTCCCTCCGAGCTCTCTGCTATGGCCTGGGAAAGCAGTGGAAGATGGCCCAAGTCCTTGGGCCCCTGCACCCTCACTGGAAACCTCGAAGAAGCTCCTGGCTCCTGGCTTCGGATGGGCACAGCTCCAGCTGTTACAGCCATCTGGGGAATGAACCAGTGGATGGAAGACCTCTTTCTCTCTCTCTGCCTCTCCTTCTCCCTCTGTAACTCTGCCTTTCAAATAAAATAAATAAATCCTTTAAAAAAAAAAAATGTTCAAGGAAAGAACCCAGTGCTGTGACACAGCAGGTGAGACCACCACCTGGGATGCAGGCATCCCCTATGGGCACTGGTTGGAGGCTCAGCTGCTCCACTCCCATCCAGCTCCCTGCTAATGCACCTGGGAAAGCAAGGGAAGATGGCCCAAGTTTCTGGGCCCCTACCACCCACATAGGAGACCACACAAAGCCCCTGGCTCCTGGCTTCAGTCTGGCCCAGGATGAGCTGCTGAGGCCATTTAGAGACTAAACTCGCAGATGGAAGATCGATCTCTCTCTCTGCCTCTTCTCCCTCTGTAACTCTGCCTTTCAAATAAATAAATCTTAACAAAAAATTCAAGGGAAAATGAGATTAAGATATGTTTAATGGGGCCAGTGCTGCAGCACAGTAGGTTAATCCTCCACCTGCAGTGCCAGCATCCCATAGGGCCCTGGTTCAAGTCCCAGCTGCTCCACTTCTGATCCAGCTCTCTGCTGTGGCCTGGGAAAGCAGAAGAAGGTGGCTCAAGTCCTTGGGCCCCTGCACCCAAGTGGGAGATGCAGAAGAAGCTCCTGGCTCCTGGTTTTGGGTTGGTGCAGCTCTGGCCATTTGGGGAGTGAACCAGCAGAGGAAAGACCTATCCTCCTCTCTCACTCTCTCTCCCTCTCCCTCTCTACCCCTCCTTCTCTCTGTGTAACTCTGACTTTCCAATAAATAAATAAAGTCTTAAAAAATTATATTAAAAAAAACCACCAATGAGACAAAGAGGAAATCCTAAGGAAAATCACAATATAATCTGAGATAAAAATGAAAGCACAGTACGCTAGCATTTATGAAATAGTAACTTACGGACTAGCTGCTCTACTTCCCCTCAGCTCCCTGCTAATGTGCCTGGGACACCAACAGAAGATGGCCTGAGTGCTTGGGTCCCTGCTACTAACATCGGAGACCCAAACAGAGTTCCAAGTTCCTGGCTTTGGCCTGGCTCAGCCCCAGCCACTGTGACCATTTAGGGAAAAAAAATCCAAAAGCATCACAAAAATACTGAAAGAACTGATAAACGAGATGAGCAAGGTTGAAGGATGCAAATGAAGCGCACAGACCAACGATGCCCTACTCCCCAGCAGCACGTAATCCAAAACAGCCACGCCGACAGCTCCATCAGCAACAGCACAAGAACACTTACATCAAACTAAACTGGACACGTAAAACTTACACATTAAAACTACAAAATCACTGTAGAAATTACAGAAAGCCCAAATCTAAGGAAAGATACCTCCTATTCATGGGCTGGAAAACAATCCAGTGAGGATGGCACTCCTCCCAATTATCTGCAGATTCAAGCAATCACTACCAAAATTCCAGCTGTTTTGTTCTAAATAAAATGAAAAGATGATCCTAAAACTAATCATGGAAATGCAGAGGACCGAAAAACCATCTCGAAAAGTTAGAACAGAGCCAGGAACTCCTCCTCCCTAACGTGCAGGCTTTCTGTCAAGGTACAGCACGCAACAATGCAGCAGTAGCTCAACGGAGGAAACAGACTGAGCAACAGTCACAGAGAAGCACAGCCGGGCCAGTGCTGTGGTACAAGGGTAAGCCGCCAACCACAGCTGGTCCCTTAGGAGTTCAGGTCCAAGTCCTGGCTCCTGCACTTCTGACCCAGCTCCCTGCTAACGCACCTGGGAAAGCAGCAGCTGATGACCCTAGTGCTTGGGCCCTGCACCCACATGGGAGACCGAATGGAGTTCCAGGCTCCTGATTTCAGCCTGGCGCAGTCCCAGTCATTGTGCCCGCTTGGGAAGTGAACCAGTGATGACGATCTCTCTCCCCCGCCCCCTTCTCTCTGTCTCTCTATAAATGATATAGATATCTGCCTTTCAAATAAATATTAAAAAACACACAAAAAAAACTCCCTGAGCAGAACCTCAGAGACCTGTGAACAGACTGACTCCACGTTTGCGCCCTCAGAGGACACACAGGGCAGGGCAGGATCCCACCGCACAGACCGGCTCTGCAGCAGAACGTGGAGGCCGCAGGTCCAGGCCTGAACAGCAGCTACCTGAGGCCCTCCTGGAACCCAGGAAGGGATTCTCTTCTGCAGCACTAGCTCCCCACGCAGGCTGCTTCTGATGGGGTGAGCCTCTGCCCTCAGAGCATACAGCAAGCAGCTCTCGTGCACGTTCAACCACCCAGGCCCTGCGGGGGTGTGGACAAGGGGTGCTGGGGGCTGGCCCCTTTGGCTTCTCTTCTTTGTCCCTGTGAGTGACAGGCTCTAAACCTAAAAGGGGGTTGTTGTTTCTTGTAGCTTCACCGGGCACGCTTGGCTTGTCTGTGTGCTTGACGTGGTGTCTCAGAATCAGAGGACTAAAGAAAGTGAGGTAGAAAGAAGTATACAAGGAAGGAGCCGCTGAAAACGCCTAAATTTGGCACAAGGTGTAAAGCTATAGATTCAAGGGGTTCAGACGCCCACAACCAACAGGCCCAAAGAAGCCGACGCACACACGATGAACTTCTGAAAGGCCTGACACTGTAGCAGGGAGCCAGGTGCGTCGCCGCACTGCACCTGCACAGATGCCCACGACACAGTCCAACCTCTCATCTCTGCCGAACAGTCCCCAGGCCCAGACACCCTCACACACGGGATTTTCATACACCAAGAACACCCCTCCCCTTCGTGACTACCTTTTCCCTCAAGGCCCAACTCAAAACTCTTTCTCCACATCTCCTATAAGTTCTGCAGGTGCTGCCCAGAGAATCTGCTACCTGTGTGAACACGTGGTTCTATTATCAGGATTCCAGTCTTACTTAAAACCTCTGCAGTCAGGCTGTCCTTAAGCAATCAAACTCCTAACGAGATACTTACGGCCATTCTGATTCAGGCTGCTTTTGGTGAGCTTCTATGACATTTATCGCGATATTGAGGTTTTCTTCCAGTTCTTTTATTCTTCCGGGATTAAGGGAGGTGAACAAAATCATTGAAGAATAGGCAACAATTTTTTTGTCTGGATGATTTAAGCAAGAGCTTCCACAGAAAGAAATAAGATTGTCAGACCAATTAGCAATATGGTAAAATATGATCATAACATAAGTAATAGCACTCCCATTAGCAAATTCAGTATCTACTAAGTTAAGAATTAGAAACAAGCACATCATTTTATTAATCTATATTTTAAACAAGTACATTATTTCTATATTAAAATTTCAGTTGACTCAAGGCTGAGAAGCAAAGCAAGTAACAGACAGTAAGACAAATGTCCGTTCTTCTTAGAACAGGCTTGTAATGATACTTCAAAGACGGAAGCATTCCTCCTACAGTCATGCGGGACAGCACGTCTAAGTGACACGGGCACAGTGGCAAGACTCTGGAATCACGAGTCTGTGACTTCCGGCTCATCACCTATCAGGGCGTGGCTGTGGGCAGTCACTAAGGACTGTCAATCACGTCGTGTGCTTGTTTTCTCCCTTTGATCTTCCTAGTGCTCCTTTGTTGGAAGCATTATCTATATGTCACAGTTAGTGTGTTAACTGCACTTGCCCAATGGCACGAAGCCAGTAACCGCCAAAACTCGAATTCAAATTTGGTTGTGTGTCTCACAAAAACAAAAAGAGCACAGTCACATGACCTCTTCAGAAACATTTTCTCTTTAAAAAATGAAGCAAAGAGCTGGCGCCGCGGCTCACTAGGCTAATCCTCTGCCTTGCGGCGCCGGCACCCCGGGTTCTAGTCCCGGTCGGGGCGCCGGATTCTGTCCCGGTTGCCCCTCTTCCAGGCCAGCTCTCTGCTGTGGCCAGGGAGTGCAGTGGAGGATAGCTCAAGTGCTTGGGCCCTGCACCCCATGGGAGACCAGGATAAGTACCTGGCTCCTGCCATCGGATCAGCACGGTGTGCCGGCCGCAGTGCGCCGGCCACGGCGGCCATTGGAGGGTGAACCAACAGCAAAGGAAGACCTTTCTCTCTGTCTCTCTCTCACTGTCCACTCTGCCTGTCAAAAAAAATAATAATAAAAAAAGAAGCAAAGAGAGCAGTGTCGGGGTGCAGCAGGCTGAGTCAGATGTCTCAACACCAGCATGCCCTATCAGAATGCCAGTCTAAGTCCCAGCTGCTCCACTTCCGATTCAGCTCCCTGCTAAAGCTTCTGGGACAGCCATCAAAGATGGCCCCAGTGCTTGGGCCCCCGCACTCACGGGGAAGAGGCAGTTGCAGCTATCTGAGGAGTGAACAGCAGATGGGAGATCCTCCTTCCGTCTCTCCCCCTCTCTCTGTAAACCTGCCTTTCAAATAGTCTTTGAAAAAAATAAATCTTTAGAAAAAATGCAATACAAGAGAAGAACTCTGACTATCTCACAGGCCTGACACCACAAGGTAAATGCAGAGAGGAAATTATCAAGGCTTCTCTGATGGTCCAAACTCTTTCACAGGCCACTCCTGCTTTCCTACCACACTCTGGATTCACCGACGCCGAGTGGTTCCTCCACCACCTGCCACAACCAACCGAGAAGAACTCCTCTCCTGAATTCTATTACCACAGGTAGCTTCTCCTCTTTTGAAGGTCACATAAAAGTCACATAAACAATCTTTCCATAGTCAGAAAACTTTTTCTCAGTACACTCACATAAAGAGTTCTGGGAAAGCATGCATCCAAACAACAGCCTGGGAATCTTCGTTCCGTGAGGCAATGTTGCCTAAAAACTGTAGGCCACAGCGGAAAGCTAAGAACATAAAAGTAAAAAAGACAGACATATATTTAAACATAATAAACACATTTGATCAAGAAAAATCCTCCGTTATTAAGTAGGAAGTTTTTCTTTCTTTTATACATAAAGATTTATTTTATTTATTTCACAGGTGGAGTTACAGAGAGAAAGGGGTAAGAGACAGATCTTCCATCCACTGTTTCACTCCCCAGTCATAATAGCTGTGATAGCCAGGGCTGGGTCGGGCCAAAGTTCAGAGCCAGGAGCTTCACTGGGTCTCCCAGGTGGGTGCAGAAGTCCAAGCATTTGGGCCATTTTCCACTGCTTTCCCAGGTGCACTTGCAGGGAGCTGGATCACAGTGTAGTAGCCAGCACTCATAGGATCACAGCACCCCTAGGATTATGGCATCACAGGCAGAGTTTTAACTCACAACATCACAATGCCAGCCGTTAGTTTCTCTGAAATATAAAAGTCTTGCTCCACAAAGAAACCTGGGAATAAATTAATATGACTTGCCAAACAATACACTCTAAAAAATTAACTAACTTCTTCAAGAAGATTCTAATTAGACACAAAAACACCTGTAATTACATTAACTGTCCCCGGAATATGTGCTCCAAGACAAGACAGTTACAGGGTGTAGCACTGTGGCTCAGTAGGTAAAGCCTCCACCTCCAACTCCAGCATCCCATGTGGGCTCCAGGTTGAGTTCAGCTGTTCTGCTTCTGATCCAGCTCCCTGCCAGTACACCTGGGAAGGCAGCAGAGAATGGCCCAAGTGCTTGGGCCCCTGCACCCACATGGGAGACCCAGAGGGGGTTTTGGTCCAGCCTACCTCCAGCCACTGTGATCATCTGGGGAGTGAACAAGCAGATGGAAGATCCCTGACTCTTTCTCTCTCTGTAACTCAGACTTTCAAATAAACAAATAAATCTTTTTTTAAAAAAAAGTTACAATTAGACTGAATTTTTAAACCTTTAATTATATACTATTTAAAACATATATATAAAAACCATAAAGTTACAGAAATACAAGAATTAAAAGAATGGTAAAAGATGTACCCGGCAAATGCTAGCCAAAAAGAGGAAGTCACAGACCCCTTAAAACCAGACAGAATAAACTGAAACAAAAAAAATCATTAATTTCTTTTAAAAAGCCATTATAGAATGATTTAATCCACCAGAAAGACATGACAATTTTAAGTACTTTGAACCTAACAACATGGCTTCAGATCCTACAGAAGAAAAACTGGAAGAAGTCTAAGACTAAAGAGAGGCCGGCACAGCGGCTCACTAGGCTAATCCTCCGCCTGTGGCGCTGGCACCCAGATTCTAGTCCAGGTCGGGGCGCCGGATTCTGTCCCAGTTGCCCCTCTTCCAGGCCCGCTCTCTGCTATGGCCCGGGAGGGCAGTAAAGGATGGCCCAAGTCCTTGGGCTCTGCACCCGCACAGGAGACCAGGAAAAGCACCTGGCTCCTAGCTTCGGATCAGCGCTGTGCACCGGCCGTAGCGCGCTGACCAGAGCAGCCACTGAGGGGTGAACCAACGGCAAAGGAAGACCTTTCTCTCTGTCTCTCTCTCTCTCTCTCACTGTCCACTCTACCTGTCAAAAAAATAAAAATAAAAAAGACTAAAGAGAGCAAGCAATTCACTATTACATAGGGCAAGGACATACACTGTTCTCGGGATGGAGGGAGTGGGGGTCTCTGGCCTAGCAGTCAAGACCTAAGTTGAGACACCCACACCCCGTTTCACAGCCTGATTTCAATATTCAGCTCCTGCTTTTGACTCTAGCTTCCTGGTAATTCAGACCCTTGGAGGCGGCAGTGATGGCTCAAACAACTAGGTTCCTGCCACCCACATGAGAGACCCACGTGGCATTCTAGGTTTCTGGCTTTGGCCTGGCCCAGACTCGGCTTTTGCATTCTGGGAGTGAAGCAGTGAATGGAAGTACTCCCTCTCTCTTCCTCCCCTACCTTCCCTTCTCTCTTCTGTCACTTGTGCTTTCAAATAACTTTTTTTTTTTTTTTTTTTGGACAGGTAGAGTTATAGACAGCGAGAGAGACAGAGAGAAAGGTCTTCTTTCCGTTGGTTCACTCCCCAAATGGCCACTACGGCCCGTGCTGTGCTGATCCGAAGCCAGGAGCCAGGTGCTTCTTCCTGGTCTCCCATATGGGTGCAGAGGCCCAAGCACTTGGGCCATCCTCCACTGCCCTCCCAGGCCACAGCAGAGAGCTGGACTGGAAGAGGAGCAACCGGGACTAGAACCCAGCACCCATTTGGGATGCCGGCACCTCAGGCAGAGGATTAACCAAGTGAGCCATGGTGCCATCCCTCAAATAACTTTTTAAAAATCTATGAGTTGGGTACTTTCATTCTCATTCTAGAAACCAGGATGCAGGACAGTAAGTAATTTGCCCAAAGTTCCTAATTTCAAATATCAAAATTCTGGCAACATCCTTATAATTCAATCAACTTAATGTGGTGAGACGTTGCAGAATATGATTCTTTTAAAGATTATTTATTTATTTGAAAATCAGTTACACAGAGAGAGAAGGAAAGTCAGAAAGAGGTCTTCCATTTGCTGGTTCACTCCCCAATTGGCCACAACAGCCAGAGCTGTGCTGTTCTGAAGCCAGGAGCCAGGAGCTTCTTCCAGGTTTCTCACGTGGGTGCAAGAGCCCAAGGATTTGGGCCATCTTCCACCACTATCCCAGGCCGTAGCAGAGAGCTGGATCAGAAGTGAAGCAGCCTGGTCTCGAACCGGCGCCAATATGGGATGCCGGCACTGCAGGTGGCGGCTTTACCCACTACGCCACAGCACCGGCACCAGAAGAATATGATTAGCAAAAAAGGAAAATGTGTTTAAAACCTGGATCAGCCAGTTCTGTGGCATAGCAGGTAAAGCCGCAGCCTGCAGTATGGGCATTCCATATGGGCGCCGGTTCGAGACCCAGCTATTCCACTTGTGATCCAGCACTCTCTAATATGGCCTGGGAAGGTAGTGGAAGATGGCCCAAGTCCTTGGGCCCCTGCACCCAGATGGGAGACCCAGAGAAAGCTCCTGGCTCCTGGCTCCTGCCTTCAGACTGGCGCAGCTCCGGCCGTTGCAGCCAATTGGAGAGTGAACCAGCAGATGAAAGACCCCCCCCAATATGTGCATGTGTATGTGTGTGTGTGTGTAACTATGACCTTCAAATAAATAAATAAATACTATTTTTATAAAGGGGGGGGCACGGCGCTGTGGCGCAGCGGGTTAACGCCCTGGCCTGAAGCACTGGCACCCCCTACTAGCGTTGGTTCTAGTCCTAGCTGCTCCTCTTCCGATCTAGCTCTCTGAAATGGCCTGGGAAAGCAGTAGAAGATGGCCCAAGTCCTTGGGCCCCTGCACCCACATGGGAGACCCGGAAGAAGCTCCTGGCTTCAGATCGGCACACCTCCAGCCGTTGCAGCCAATTGGGGAATGAACCATCGGATGGAAGACCTCTCTCTCTCTCTCTCTCTCTCTCTCTCTCTCTCCTTCTTTCTGTGTAACTCTGACGTTCAAGTAAATAAATAAATGCAATCCAAACACCTGCTGCTGCCTCCCAGGCTCTGTACTGCAGGAAGCTGGGAGTCAAACCCAGGCACTCCTACACGGAACGAGGGCGTCTAACTGCCAAACAAAACACCCACTCCTGAAGGCCGTTTTACCATGAGGAAAGCAAAATTTCTAAGTGGGGCAGCCACTGAGCTGAGGTAACAGCATCCCACCCCAGAGTAGCAGGGTTCGGATGCTGCCTTCAGCTGCTCTAACACAGAGCCTGGAAGGGAGGCTGACAGTTCACGTGATGGGGTCTCCGCCATCCACATGAGGACATGAGAAAACTGCACAGAGCTCCACCCTGCCAGCTTCGGCTGCCCAGCCTCAGCAGCTGCAGCATTTCAAGAGTGAACCAGGGAATGAGAGCCCACTGGATCTCTCTCTCATCACTAACAAATAAGTTATTTTTTTTAAATACTATCCTCTTTTTTTTTTTTTTTTTTTTTTGACAGGCAGAGTGGACAGTAAGAGAGAGAGACAGAGAGAAAGGTCTTCCTTTGCCGTTGGTTCACCTTCCAATGGCCGCCGCGGCCAGCGCGCTGCGGCCGGCGCACCGCGCTGATCCGATGGCAGGAGCCAGGAGCCAGGTGCTTTTCCTGGTCTCCCATGGGGTGCAGGGCCCAAGCACCTGGGCCATCCTCCACTGCACTCCCTGGCCACAGCAGAGGGCTGGCCTGGAAGAGGGGCAACCGGGACAGAATCCGGCGCCTCGACCGGGACTAGAACCTGGTGTGCCGGCGCCGCTAGGCGGAGGATTAGCCTAGTGAGCCGCGGCGCCGGCCCAATACTATCCTCATTTTACAAAGACTAAACCAAGGATCACCCAAGGTCACAGAGCCCGTAAGTGGTAGAACAGGACTGCCAAAAACAAGAGATAACTTCTCCAGGGCAGGAATCAGGCTAATCAGGGAAGGTAAAATGAACAGAAGGATCTGTGCTGAAATTCAAGGCTTTGTCTCACTGAAAGCATTCCCTCCAGAAAGCCAGCAGGAAGACATTTTCCCGAGCAAGCTGCCGGTTAAGCCTCTTCCACGCCCCAGACTGCTCAGCACTGAGTTCCTGCCCTCGGTCCTCAAGTCTCCCGGGAACTGAGCCTTCCCTTTAAGCCCTGGCGCCTAATGCCTGGCTGCCTGCTTCACCGTCTCCAGGGCAGGACAGAAAGGGTACGGAGTGTGGCGTACCTGCACCACTCACGCAACCACAGCAGCTCAACACCTGGTGGTCAAGGAAAAGTTGTAAATGGTGGCCAAAGACCAAAACACTGAATGAACTTCAGACATATGCAAATAACTGCTTGAGTATTTTAATCTGTAATGAAGCTGGAGAAGAAACTGCAAGTACACAAGCACATACCCATACACACAAATACGGAAAAATGACATCCACAAAGAAATCAACTTTTTGTCCTCGAATAGCCTGCATGAACAGTGATG